GGATTTAGTCTTCGTTTTTTCGCTTGAGTTCCGTGAGAATAATTAACAGGAAAAATCGATGACCCGTGTATTCCGCTGTAAACACAGAACGTTTGCGTAGCCGCGAGAGAGTTGCTCGTTAAATCAATAATTTTGTTTGAACACATCATTGCGAGTTCCAAAATGCGTTGTTATATCCGTAATTCGTAAACATTTTTTTGATTCTACAGTTTCACGCTTCAGCGCTCGAGTTTTCTTTCTATCTCCGCGTCACACTGTTTAGTCACGAAGATTTCGTTTCCCTTTTTTCTGATTCATTTAGGTTCGCCGCGGTGTTAAAATTATTTTTTTAAATTAAAGGCACGTGGGATTAAACCGCGGAAAGAAACAGCCGCTTGAAGTGAAGCATAAGCTCATTTGCGTTTTTCCCCGCTTTGTTCTTTCACATGATTCTGTGTAATAACAGTTGAAGCATAAATATAAATAAGCTACTTCCGTCTAATTAATTGCACAGCCAGTTTTCTCCTGGATTAATAGTTGATGTGCCCGGATATATATCACTTAAGTAAATGTAAACAGTTTTTGTCTACAGTGATCGATAGTCCCTACGGTAATTTATAATTGGATAAAACAATTGCAAGAACCACTTTCCTATTCGTATCACGACATTGGGAGAAGGGAGTTAAATCCTTTCGAATAAAAGTCCTCGGAAGTCCATTTATCGATTCTTCGCAGTCATTAAGGAATGGTAACTTGGTTAAAGCGTGTCAAACTTTCTGTCTTTCATCGCAAGAGGTTTCCAGGAGATTTTCAGAACTGAACAACTAAAATTAACGCCGGCCGGACGAACTTCCCAAATCTTATTATAATCGTTATAAAATGAATATCAAATACTGGTCGGTCATTTAGGAAATTGATAATTTACAACAAGATTGGAAGATTGAAATAAAAGTATAAAACACGCGCATAGATCTTGGAATAAATTAAAAGAAAACAGTTCACTGTAATTCGCCGTTATACGTGTATCTACTTTAGAAGAAATTCTAACCAAACAGAGATAGTAAAAAGACGTACAATAATCTTTCTTATCGGCTCTGGTCCGGGCTTCCATTCAAATAATCCGATTAAATATTTAAGCACTTCTGAAATTCCAACGAAATGGAGAAGAAAATGCGCGCGCGATATGGGGCGACGATTCTCATCACGTACTCAGAAGAAAAAGATGCCAAGGAAGTATGCAGCACTTCCGCGAATCGATAGAGACATTTTTTCTGGTCAAAGTGAACGATCGCAACGCGCCGCTCTGCCAAGGGAATGCAATTCTATCCTCCTCTTCAGCTACGAGCACCCACCCTTGGACTTTCACCATCTTCAGCAGACCTCTTACAAATCAACGAAACCTGACAACCCGTCGTAAAATTCAAACTCGTTAGCGCTCCTCGGAACGCCTCACCCTTTGAAACCGAGCTCATTCATCCCCCCTTTTTCATTCTCGCCGTCGCCTGTTGAATAAAGTCTTTGAAAATTTCTCCTGATTCCTTTTACATAATTTATACAAATATTCGTTTGAAAACAAAATGATCATTTTCTGTCCTATTCAGTTCAATGTCATTCTATGTAATATAAACTGATAAATCCGTACCATTAAAATAATGAATTAAGACTGAATAATGAATGTTACATGTGTATTATAAACGATTATTGTTAAATCGAGAAAATTGTACTGTCAGCATTGATTAATAAAAATTGAGATGCTTTTCATAAAAATTGAGACGCTTTCGTCAGCGCATTGAACCCTTTGTCTCGCGACAAAGGGGTTCCCGGCTTACAAGCTTTCGGCACGAGCTACATAAAAGCCGAAATGCGACGTGAAAGTGTGAATTATTTTAACTACCTGGCAACGAAAGGTGGCAATGTATAACATCGTGAGAACTTCGAAAGTTCACGGGGGTGTAACGGGAAGAAAATTCGTCGTGGTTCTTGTAGTCAAGCAGATACGCGCGTATAATCAACTTCTCGGTTAAATTACGTTTGACACTAGGACAAAGGTACGGGTTAATCATGAAACATTCCCTCGAACTCGTACACGCCCGGATTAGAGTGCTGTTCTACAAGTACATACGCGTGCATTCTACATACGTATGTATACGGGTTGCACTCTTCTATGTACAGTGGAAAATAAATTCGAATCTGCCGTCCGATGCAAACATGAGAATCCAATTCTCTTTCGATATTTAGAGATCAGCTCAATATACGTTGTCAGTCTAATTAATAATAAGATTTAAATAAGGAATATAACCTTTAATTATTTTTATTTTTAATTATTCCTTATTAAATGTTTGATCTTTTAAGACATTGATGCAAAGAGAACATTAAAATAATGAATTAAGACTGAATAATGAATGTTACATGTGTATTATAAACGATTATTGTTAAATCGAGAAAATTGTACTGTCAGCATTGATTAATAAAAATTGAGATGCTTTTCATAAAAATTGAGACGCTTTCGTCAGCGCATTGAACCCTTTGTCTCGCGACAAAGGGGTTCCCGGCTTACAAGCTTTCGGCACGAGCTACATAAAAGCCGAAATGCGACGTGAAAGTGTGAATTATTTTAACTACCTGGCAACGAAAGGTGGCAATGTATAACATCGTGAGAACTTCGAAAGTTCACGGGGGTGTAACGGGAAGAAAATTCGTCGTGGTTCTTGTAGTCAAGCAGATACGCGCGTATAATCAACTTCTCGGTTAAATTACGTTTGACACTAGGACAAAGGTACGGGTTAATCATGAAACATTCCCTCGAACTCGTACACGCCCGGATTAGAGTGCTGTTCTACAAGTACATACGCGTGCATTCTACATACGTATGTATACGGGTTGCACTCTTCTATGTACAGTGGAAAATAAATTCGAATCTGCCGTCCGATGCAAACATGAGAATCCAATTCTCTTTCGATATTTAGAGATCAGCTCAATATACGTTGTCAGTCTAATTAATAATAAGATTTAAATAAGGAATATAACCTTTAATTATTTTTATTTTTAATTATTCCTTATTAAATGTTTGATCTTTTAAGACATTGATGCAAAGAGACTAATACAATTTTGTCATTTTTAGTCAGATTTATCCTAAAATTTAAACAGAATTTTCCTAAATTATATAAATTTCATTTTATATCATAATATAAACGAAATAAGTAATGGAATAATTGTATTGTGTCTGATTATTAATTTTGACGATTTTGGATGTTAAATGTTTGTTCTCTCTTCACTCATGTCATAACATTTCCTCGATGTGCGTTTCTATGTCCAAATTGACTGAATAATAATCTTATATTACAACTAAATTTGAATAATTAGTGCTGGCGATGCATATCTAAATAGCACCTGAAAGTTAAATAATCCTTTGAAGAGCAACGTGGTAATTAAGCCACCTCGATTTGTAACATTTGACTGTGTATTCACTAGTCTTCTCTCTCGTTCAGTAAACCACAATTCGGGCAGGAAAAACATGATCAACGACTGTTCAAGACTTAACTATCGTTAATTAGAATATTTATTCTGAAAAAGCACGTCACCGCACGTGTTTTTCAGTACACCTACAATAATTCGTCATACCTAAAGTAGCAAAAGGAAAGTATTTACGATATTTTAATAAATATCAACTATAAATTTGGGAAACTGCTCGATATTATTATAATCTTTATAATTAATGCGATCTTCATAAAAATTGAAGAAACGAAGCAAGTTGGAAGGAATTCTTACAGGGAGAAAACACTCATCAAATCTTAGTCAGCATGATTAGAAAATTTAAAAGATGAAACAAAAAATAAAATTGATCAATCATATCTACAAACAAAAATCTGATAAACCTAATAAATTATTGAATGAACTAATATTACGTAACATTACGTAACATTATCTAAATTGTTTTTTTTTAATTCAACTGTGTTTGAACCGCGTCGCGCAAGACTCACAGTTGAGACGAAAAGACCGAAACGACAGATGTCCGCATGTCGGCAAGAAAAGACACGCGCGTAGACAGTGGCTGACCCTAACCCGGATGAAGTAGAAGAAAGAGCGGCCGCGGCCCGAGAAAAAAACTGGATTAAAATTAATGGAGGTGGAAAATCGCGAAAGTTTTCAGCGTATAGCAGCGCAAAAATTCCATCAGGATTCGAACCCGAGCCAACTCGGACGCCGCGAAATCGTTTCCGCAGCGTTTTTATCGCCACTCCTACCCTGTTCGATCCCGCGATTGGATACTCTCGTTTTTTCCCAGCTTTCCCAACCGATCCTCGCTTTTCGATAGATCGCACTGTGAGTACGCACTCGGCGCGCTCGTATTCATTGTAACAAATACTGACGTCACTACTGTCGGACAATCCAGGCGAGTCTACGTTCCGAGCAGAAAAAGATCGCGCGCGATTTGATACGTCCTCCACTCCCATTTATGCGACATGACGTCGCGAATGCAAGGCCGATTGTATTATCCAACTTTACACATGTAACACCTCAGTTGACAAGTGTATACGATGCTTCCGGTGGATTTCTAGCAAAGAGAGAGAAACGAACGCAGATTCCTGACGTGTCATAAACGGAGGAGTCATAAATCCGATGAAGAAGAAAGTTAGCTACATCCGAAAGAACGAATGCAGTTGTTGTTGCGACAAAGATTGATATACGAGGACGATCACCCCAAACACTTTACACACGCGAAGATCGCGCCAAAGCCAAATTCTGTCCGTGTTCAGTTAGTTATACTACACGCATTGTACAAATGTGTTAGGAAGCTCGTTACAGGCATTGTAACATTCCTGTCTTAACCAGACTACATCGAATATTAAAATAGTACTTCGTTCATTTCGTTCGATTTTTATCAATCGTTTCGTAACAGAATCCTCTGTTCCTAGTCTATATTTTTTACCCTAATTCTTCTTTGTAATAATCTATCCGCGTATGACGCGCGATTACGAAAATTTTACTATGGAAATCACTGAAAGAAAATTGCCACTCACGGGGTCTGAAGATGTACACATATTTGTGTAGATACGTTCCATCCACGTCGAAGCTGAAGAAAAACGGAACCGCGTAAAATCACACGAACTCGCACTGGAACAACGGAGACGCGCGTAAAATGAAAATGAAAATCAGCGACTCTGTGAACGACGAATATACTGGCGAACGAACGAAAGATTCACCTCGAGGCACCTCTGGCCAGTCGCGAAACGCGAACCAAACCCAACTGAAGTGCGACGTTTCTGTACTTGCGACCGCACCCCCGCTGCCACCCCCCTACCCACCCGCGCACGCGTTTCGCCCCGAGTTGCCCGCGTCTTCTTCAGCTTCTACGAAGCTTACCCGTGATTAGCCACTGAACCGTCTCAGAATTATCGAAATCGAAAGTTTTCGGGGTAGTTCCGAAAGGAGAACCCGTACGCGTCGAATATTGAATGCTCGAAACGGATCTTCTGATTCAACTGAATGAACATGGAACCATCGTGCCATGTTCTAATATAATTCAGCTTCATCAAGTATCAATAGATTTATATTTAACATAAATCAATTAATTGAATTTCGTTACGTCGGAGCATTGAAATTTTTCTTACTCGTCATTCGTCCGGTCGAGGGAAGAATAATAATAAATTATAATAAGAATACATTGCAGCAAATGCTTTCACAGTGATTACAGAACCAAAGTTACGAGACGGATTAATCTCCAGAAGCCACGTTATTTACAAAACAAGATGCCTTTCTCTCTGAGGGAGTTGAGTTTGGTATAATCTTCCCTCCAACTTCGCGACACGTTTCAAGTTCCGACGAAGACACTATAACCAATGTTCTTCAATAATCCAACTAGTGATTCCGAATTATTTACAAAACTGTACTAAATAATTTATTTAAAAATACTTCCACGAAAGTTGAATTATTAACTAACAATTTGCGAATCATTTAAATTCTGTGGTTTCTCGTAATATCTTACGCACGATGTGTGATACGATTTACATTCGAATGCAATTGTGTTACTGAAAATGAAGAATGTGCAACGCGTAGGAATGAAACGCAAAGAATGCGAGTTGATATGTGTGATACGAAATGCAGAATAGAAAGCTTGACACCAGGGCAGAAATGTTAAAGTGGAAGTAAGTGTTTGTAGGGAAGTGGCGAGCGCGAAATAAAATATTGGCAATCTTTAAGAGAGAAGAAGTGAAATGAAAAACATGCCACGAGACCACTTAAATTACGCTCATAAATAATTCAGCTATTAATCACTCAATGCTTGGAGTACCCTTGAAGAGATAATTTGACGTAAATATTGTAGGTACACAGCGTTTAATAAGATAGAAAGTAGAAAACTGATTATAAATTCACTTTTAAGAGATGCCGAATAGTTCGGCTCAGAGGCTCGCCGAATTGCAGTCATAATTCTTGCATGATAAACGAGACCGAGAACGCCTTTTAAATATTAACATCCGATCCGTTCCAAGATGGATCCGAACGACTTTAGGAATACGAAATGAGGGTTTAATGGTTTCGACGTATGATTGTAACATCATCTGAAATAACTATTTCTATTCTTTTATTACGTACAGTGATTCTATTCAAAGTTACACATACATACCTAGTCAATTTCCGAAGTGCGAAGTTCTTCACCTTCTCAATCACCTATTTTTCTTCATGCGTGCATTTCTCGTACGATTAAATTGCGATGAAAATGCCGAACGTCCGTAGAAAGCAATATTTGGAACACTATACCGAGCATTAATTAACGAAAACAATAATCCTGCGTTCAAACTGATTATTGAAACATAAATACGCATATCGATTAAATTCCACATAACCGAACGTGTTTGAGAACAATATCAAGCGAAAATACTAAAATTAATACTTATTTAATTTCTAATCCCCGCACGCGACGACGTGACCCTTCGTACTATCTAAAAGATTGATAGGCACGTACACCCACTTGCACCCGCTACGTGTAGATCGGGCGTCGTGAATAGCAAACAATGTTTACATTGTCGAAGCCGAAGACAAAGAAAACAAGTGTATAACATTTTCGAGAGAACATAATGACCTAATATTTTTATACAAGTTCCTAGAGATTTTCGTTCATTTAGAAAATCATTAGAATATAGAATTACGAATTACTAAAGGATTCTTGTACGGATTAATAAGCTAAGAATTCTTTAATAGAATTAATCTTTTAAACTCTGTATAGTTAAATTTATTATACAAAAATCATTAATTTTTGTAGAAAATGAATATTGTAAATATAAAAATTAAAAATCTACTGCTCTATAATTTGAGTTTTGTTAATTTTTCTCGATTTGCCTCGTTCACAGCAATAGTTATCTGATGAAAGCTTAGCATGGGAACATGAAGCTCTTATTGGCTGATCGTGTATAGCAACACCTCCCTAACCGCTATGAAAGCTTGTAGAAATTTTAGCCGCTCTGATTAATAACGACGTTTAACGAGCATTTGCTAAATGTTAATACTCGGTATTGAATATAACTGATCAACGAAATGGAATCAATCCAAACGAAGTTGCGAATTAATTTTCAGTTAATGACATCGTTCGGTTGGATCGTCTTTCACGCAGGGAATGATAAATATTCCACAGTATCCGTGCGCTTTCGCACAGTTCACTACCTCACGGGAAATCCTGCATTTCCCTATCGCTCTCCCTCCAGCAATCTAGCGAGATTTTTATCCATTTTTCGAATCGTGTGTGCTCGGCCCGCTTAACGTTCCAGGGATTCAAAAGGATTGCGTTAGACATTCCAATTTTCCGAGATTCGACGATTGGACATCACGCGACTACTACGTTTTCGGACAATGGGAAAGAAAAATTTATTAGGTAATAAAAACCGTCCCTTTCACCTCTTGCATTAAATTACGTACTGTGTTCTTAAAACGATTGATTGAAATTGCTTATAAAACTGTCATATATATTTTATTGAAATGAAAAATGTTTTTTAAATTAAACATGCAGCGATTTATTAAACTGTTTTAAATTAAAAAATAATATTTTATCAATTCTTCATTACATCCTGTACATATAAGATGACTGATGTAACGTCTGAAGGTTTCTGCACGCATACGAAATTTGAAAACAGGATTAGAAATGAATATGCCAGGTATGGTTCTCTTCTGCACGAGGCACCGATAATAAGCACCGTCTGCATATTGCGTCATCCTCGCGATAAGATCTAATGTGATTATGATAATGGAAACTCGGGAAACGACACGGCGCGGTGGCGTCGTCCCCATGAACATTTCACGATCAAGCTGGCTAGACCTGCCGTAGCGCGCGGTGCACGCGAAGATAACATCTCGACGTTGATCATTCTTTGGCGCAGAAAATGTATTCACCATGTTATAAGTTTAATTTAGTAGAAAATGCCATGTAGCAAAAATTTTATAATAATGTCAAGCGTCATGTACTGTAGATATATGCATAATTTTATGCATGATTAAACTTCAAATATTTATTATGTCACAAGACGTACACATTACTATGGTACAGATGAAAATTCTGTTGCTTAGAAAATATACAAGTGATCTATTCTTTATTTTGATTATTCAAACAGCTGAATAATTTTTCTATTATAAATTCATTGCACAGGTACTCAAGTTAATAACTTTATATGTTGATATCTCAAAAACCAGTTTTATTCTTTCCTTCTTACAAAAATAAAGCTAATAAGGTTTTTTATGAATTAGAAATTCAAAACGCGAGTAAAATTATTATAGGTATCTACGTTTATTATGATTAAAAGTACTATGGTGCATAGGAGCGAAGCATAGGAATAAGCGACACAGCCATAGGAATAACAGTAAGCTTCTTATGGTGTATAAAATGTTTTTAAGCCTGGAGTGCAATACGACCGTCTGGCCGGAAATGCAGAGCAACTTATCTACGAGGGGTGGTACCTACACGAGAAAACAACAAACGATATTTTTCGCAGCGTCAGCCTACTATACATGATAGTTTTTATTCATGATGCCCTTGGCGCGAAGTTATGCCTCTTATTCTCGTACTTCTTACACTCATGGGGTCTTTCATCATATTTTTATGTTCTTGGGAAACCCCACAGTTTTTCTCAGTGAAATGTAGCGATGTACCCGGAATAATCGCGGTACCTCAAAATCGTAATTCAGAAACGCGAAAGTGAACCCGTCTGTTGTGAGACTACAGTTTCGACTATTTTAAACGGAAAGAAAATTAGTTAATACAAATTTAACTCTAGATTGCCTAAGGAAGTCATTTTGACTGCTTTTGGGCAAATGTACAAATAATAATGCATAAATTATTTTTTTTCCC